ATTTAACTATTCAAAAATCAAATTGATTTTAAAATGTTCAGTTCAACTGTAGTACCGGTTTCAAATCGCAGTGTTAAATTTCCTGGGCATGTGTTGAAACTGGCAATGATACTTTTCGTATCTTAAAGCAGTATAATATGCAGGAATATCATACGTTTTGTGTCTGCTTTTAGTTATGCAGGAACTTTTAAAACGTTTGTTTATCTTTTCTATGCAGTTTTGACACAAACACGTAATCCAGAAAACTGAAGAAGTTGCCTTATTCTAGTTCCTCTGTTTCTTTGTTACCTATAGCCGGTCCCCTAGTGGGACAGAGATAAATCTACAGACTTACAACGCTGAAATCTAGTGTTCGATTCCCTGCGGTGGACATAGCAGATAGCCCAGTGTGGCTGTGCTATACAACATACAAACAATACTTTTGACCTGGCATGGCCTGGTGGTTAGGGCGCTCGATTCGCAATCTGCGGGTCACAGGTTCGAATCCGCGTCACCGATCATGTTCGCTCTTTCAGCCGTTATTTGACGGTTAATCTCACTATTCGTTGGTAAAAGAATGAGTAGACCAGGAATTGGCGGTGGGTGACGTTGAGTAGATGCCTTCCCTCTAGTTTATCACAACTATATTAGGGAAGGCTAGCGCAGATAGCCCTAGAGTAGCTTTGCGTGAAATTCAAAAGAAACTCTGTAGCAGATAACGTCTATTCTTCCCGAGGGGATCTTGCAGTAACATCGCACATCCGTGTTGAAAGGGTCGCTCTGCTTGCAAATGCTACGAATGAACAAACTCACAAAGTGACGCTATCGATTGGATAAAAGAACTGACTTTATCTATTGAATTCAAGTGCACTTTCTTGATTCATTTCTATTTTCGAGTGAAGACTACATATTGAAACCATCCTGTTTTATTTTTGCGGAGATCAATTCTGCATAAGAACGCACAGTGCTTTTTTATGTTTTTGGTGTTATAAAGATTGTGTTTACTCTTGACAACTTGTACAGTCTCTTTATTCAATTCACTGGAGAATTCAGTTAATTACAGTTACTTCACAAGTTTTCCGTCATAAGTGTCATAACTTGCGAGGAAATCAGTTTTACCTGGTAATACTACAGCAGTAAGTGTGCACGTGCGTGGGTGCTTGTTTCAATGCCTGGATCATTGTGAATTAGAGAGTTCCTTATGGAAACTGGATATAAATTTTATTCAAAATATGTAAAGTAACTAATTAATAATCTAATAAGGCTACTACTAGTGCATATCAGCGGAGTGATATAGGTAGCTGTAAATTAGTTTTACTTTTACATATGGACTATATAAATAACAGAATTTTGGCCTTCATATTCCTGTTTTTACACACACTGCATTTAACTGTGTATGTAAAAAATACAATGCTATGTATAAATACTGTCACTGTTATATGGTGACATAAACAGTCGTAAACTTTAAGTTCTAGCTTTCATTTATTGATAATTGGGATTTATTCTTTATTACAAATCAAATATATATTTTTGTTTGTTTTAGAAAGAAATAGATGAACTTGGACCCGTATAGAACGATATCCTTATTTAATATATCTTTTAAATCATTTCGTTGATGTGCCGATAAAAAACATCTACATATTTGATAATGTAAGATTATAGTACGAATCGCGTTGCCACAAAAATGTCCTCCAAATTTTAAGGCTTCGGCTGCACTATAAGAGTGGCAATCAAATCCCACTGTTCGGTTAGACGAGATTAGTCGAAGAATTGGCAATGGCTGCCGTTGACTAGCTAGCTGTCTTACTTCTAGTGTATCAGTGCCAAATTAGGGACGGCTGTAGATTGTTTTTTGTGTAGCTTTGCTTGAAATTGTCAAACATGTATTTCAACAAAACTGATACATTCAATACAAAGTGTGTTCAAACACAGTCAACGATGAGGACAAGATGAATCTATATTCAAAATTGATGACCAATAAATATTATCTTAGTTTACAGTTGAAACGTCCTTCTCAAACAAACAATCCATGAAAATTCCTAATCTTACTATTGAAATCTCAGTTTAAGCTTGTTTGTTTTGTTACGTCTCCGTTCGTTAGTTGATTTTCCGTAACTTCGTTCCGACGAAACTTTAGCGACACAAGTCCTTACTTAATAAAACTGGTTTATTCTTTCCGAATACAACTTTACGATACACTTAATTTCAACAGTCGCGCTATAACAAACGCTATATCTCACGTGGCCAACAATATTTTGTCCGCATACATTCAATTACTCATTACACTGTTCCTGATGTCCCGTCACGTTGTCAACGTCTTATATATATAAACAAGACTAACACATATCTAGTAAGTGCTAGGGCATTCTTGAAGGAACAGGATATTTCTAGAAAACAGGTGGCGTGATACTAGTCACGTGACCTCGCTGACGCAACAGTTTGTTTGGAATTAAGCACAAAGTTAATCAATGGGCTATCTGTGCTCTGCCCACCACGGGTATCGAAACCCGGTTTCTAGCATTGTAAGTCCGCAGACATACCGCTGTGCCACTGGGGGGCCTCAGTTTAAGAAATAGAATGAACTCAAAAATAAATAAATGCAACCATCGAAAAGGGGGCCAGAATAAGAACAATATCGCAATCTAACTCAAACTTTTTACTTAAAACTAATAACAAGATAAACAAGGAGAAAAAACACATTAAAATAACTTTAATTACGTGGCAGTATAAGAATACAGTTTCGGACGCAAGCTTAAGATAAGTTAAACCAGTATAAATGAAATGGACTTGAAGAGAGCAAGTGCTTAACGGGCATACAATCCAAAAAACGTTTTTCTTTTTATTCTACATATTTGGTGAAAGTATTTACTCGTAAGAATAGCAGTGTAATAAACATATATCCTAGATTAGAATCCCCACAATGCAGTTTTACTCAGTGACACATAAGTAGTATATTATGTAACCTTCTTTGTCTAACTTTACATGCATCTTTCGTCCCTTACTTCTGTATTATTCTTTTATTATTTTTTTCAGTACGGCGGGACATTGGATAATTGCTGATGTTGTTTGCAGTTCTCCGCACCCATATCCTCAATACCACAAATACCATAGTTTTTAGTAGCAGCTAAAAGGATACAGTTTAGTTATTTAATAAATATGGGTGTTTTACTGGCATGAATTCCGTATCCCCTATCGCAGGAAAAGTGCGAAAGAATTTATGATTTTAAAAAAGGCTGTGTTCTGTTTTTTCGTATATGCTATAAATACACCTAAAAAACTTATACACCACCGTCAGTTTAGAAATTATTTTAACTCTTGAAAGTGTTCTAAAACTCGAGTAGTTTCAACAGTGTTGGTTCTCGTTTTTTAACACTGTTTTAGTTGTATATCAAGATAAAAATTGAATAAATTCGTTAAATGTATAAATGCATTTAGTGCACCAAACCAAACTTCTGAAATGATAGCAGTTTGATATTTAGGAGATTTTTACCACTAAAATAAAATCAGATAATTCTTGTTTCATTATTACTTAACGAAAAACTGCTACTTTCATTAAAGCCAGGTAATATTTTTCTTTTTTGTTAGCAAATGGTAAAGTTGTGATTATTGTTACAAGAAACTGAGTTCTCAGATACTTTGTCTCCAGTAGATTTCTGATTGATTAACATGTAGCATCTTTCTCTCTGCCTTAACAACATCATATAAATGTTTAGCACTTTAGTATTTTAGTGTCTTATGATATATAATTACTCTAATGATTCATTGTATATACTGCTATGATATTATTTTAGTAATTTATTACATTGTAATGATGTATCTAGGACTTTAGTGTTTATGTGTCATGAAATATAGTTTTCAGTATTTATAATCATGATTATTAAATATAAAGTATTACCAATTATGCTTTTGTTACCTATAGATGATTTAATATTTATGTTGCAATGACGTAAAGATTTCCTCACTACTTATGAAATGTGGTCTATAAAATGCTTTAGTACTTGAAACATTAGGGTCAGCACATCGATAACTAACGTGGTATAAGTAGTTTTCTCTTTATGACCACTGTGGGATTGAATATTTTTTTCCTTATGATCGACACGGTATTTATACTTGTGTTATTATGATCAATATAGCACTATAATATTTTAACTTATGACCAGTACTTTAATACTTCACTACACTAGAGTACTTTAGGAGCTTTTGTTTATACAAAATAGTAATTTGATATTCCTGTCCTCATAACCAAAACTATAAGTACTTTTGTCGATAACTTCATACTTTATCAGCTCTGTCTATGTGACCAAAAAAAGGGTAGAATATATAAACTTTTCTGACCAAAACAATAATTTAACACTTTTGTCTTCAGTACATTTTGTAACCAATACATATACTTACGAATGACTTTTGTCTTTGTAACCAAAACTGCGTTCGTTCTCTTATAACCAATTCAGTAGTTTATTTTTAATGACCAAAATTAGCTTTTTATTACTTCTGTTGTTACCCATTTTGCTTGATTTAGTGAATAATCGAGTTAGATTGATTCTGATATTATCAAAATTAAATAACTAACTTAAACCACTTTGAGAGAGAGGGGGTGACCATAATCCTACGTATTCTCCAACAAATTTCAGCTTCCAAATACAACTGCAGAGATTTCAATTTTCATTATCTGTTTGGCGATGCTTAATTGTTAAAGTTCTTTTTTAATGAAACCCAAGACGGATTTAGATTTTTCGAAATTGACTGATTTATCTTTTTTGTTTGTATTTTTGTTCTCGCAATTGGTACGTGAGATGCGTTACACTTAAAATTGCCAATTAATCTTAAGCCTAGCAAACATTATAAATACAGAAGTTGATAAAAACATGTCAATCTATAGATATCACAAAGGAAGATAAATAACAGAGTTAAACGACTTATTGCATGAATATAACTGTGATTAATTAAAACAGAGAATTACAGTATGAAACTACTATTACAGGTTAAGAATTCAATGTAATAACAATAATAACAAATTGTACCTCCTCCATTCTTGTAACATAAATAAGGAAATCTCCAGACGTTCCCCAGTCCAATGGCATACCCTACGCAGGACATTAAAAAGTCAAGTCTTCCAGTCCAATTACCTCGTTCAGGTAGATCATGATTTGGAGATACTGCAGGGGCAACAGTATTTGTTCTAGGGGTGTTAATTGGAGAGCTTCCATTTACTGAAAAGTTGTTAATTTCGGGATTAGATATATCGTTTACGTAATCGCCCATCTTGAATTATTTCAAAACATTCAAAGATGAAGTTATTCAGTCAAATGGCTTTTAAGCAGCGATCGATGTTACTTTTTAGTTTAAGTTCCATATATATATATATATATGTCTATATATCCAATTATGTCTTCACTAGTTTTACAATAACAGCGGATAATTTGATCAACGTGGTACCTTCTTACTAGTATCAATTTCGAAATTGCGGGAGTGTTTTTGTCATTTTCTTTATAATTTTAAAGGTAATATGGTAACAAAGACTTCGAGTCAGTGGAAGAAACTTTCATATCCCAAATCTTGTTGACTGACGTTCGCGTGCAGGTGTTTATTAAACAAACGACTATCGCAAAAATTGACCTTTAAAAGTGTCGTCAAGTAATTTCTGACTTCGAAGGTCAAGGCACATTTACTGATAATTGTAAATTTTCAAACAGGAAATTACAGATAACTGAGAAAAATTAGCTTTAACTTCAGTTTAATCACTTTAATGTTTAAGAGCTCGATTTACAAAGCTAAAGAAATTAGCCATCTAACAAAATGCGACAGTTCTATACTGATTCCATCTGACACTAGCTGATGAAAGAGATCACCACACTCCTTTCTCATAGTTACATTATAGTTATGTCAACAAACGCGTCTTTCGTCTGCGCATGAGCTTAAAGTAGCTTAAAAGAAACATGTTACTATATCTACTCTGAACTCACGCACACATGTTGTTATTATAGATTTTGTTTTCATTTTAAAATACAATCTTGTGCTGGCTAAAGGTTTGTAAATGCAGTTATTATTCTGTTTGAAATTTTACGAAAGTTAAAATAAATAACATTCATGTTTTTGTCTGTTTGTTGTTTTTTCCCCCATGCGAAAGCATTCAAGTAAGGTAACAAATGTTGTGTGACTTTTCCCTTTGTGGAAGTGTCTTCCTGTCTTAAAAAGTTAAATCCGTGAGAATATAATACATACGTTCAAGATATCTGTTAGTGTTGTTAATATTAATAAATGGAAAAGTGTACGATTTCAATCAAACATCGTCATTTAGTTAGCACATTCTACTTATGCCACTATCATCAAGTGTATTAGTCGTAGTATTTAAGCACGGCATGTTGGCTAATGATGAATCCAGTCTATTTCCATAAGTTTAGAATTTCATAACAGCTATATAGATATTGCTAAAACATGTAATATTTTGATATATTGTTTACAAATAATTCTTGTAAGCTTATTTTAAAATTTCGGAAAACTTATTACAGAATCTGTTTATCATAAATAATGTAAACGAATATTCCTTGTTGCATCGTTTAATGGAAATGTAAGGATCTACATCCTATAATAGATAGAACATGCACATCCTAAATCATTTACTAGAAGAAATCATGTACATCTTGCATCATTTAGTGAAAATACATGTAATGTACATGATTTCTTCTAGTAAATGATGTAAGACACACATGTGTTTTAACCAAATGATACAAGATGTACATGATTTCTTCTAGTAAATGATGTAAGACACCCTTCACGAAGCTCGAATACGGAGGAAATTGAACTCACATCACATAAACGTATACGCGAAGTTCTTGATAATCACCCTATAGAGTTAAACGAAGCAGTTCGGTATATTTGAAAGAAACTGATCAACATAGATACGCAAATTCCTATATGAATTTAGCATATCGCTACCCTGATGTGAATTTTACAGCATGAAGGAGAAGTATACCAAACTAAAGATTCAAAAAATATAACGCAATGATTTTACTCTGGATTTTGATATTTCTTAAATCATTTTTTTAAAGGGGCCTTAGATGAAACTAAACAAAACAGATATAATAAATGTTTAAACAAATTAGAACTTCATATCTTTAAACGAAGAAATATTAGTAATGACATTGTTTTCGCAATATCTCGTTGAGGTACAGTGAAGAATTTTTGTGCAGTCAACGATGACAAAACTATATTAGCTAGATGAATGATATACTGTTCTTTCGTTTTCTTTAATGTACTGAAATATTTTCAAACACTTTGTTGCAATTAAGTTTTTGATATAAATAGAAATAAATGTAACGTGTATTTAACGATCATAGTGACTTGACGCAATCTGACAAATACAAAAACGAGAAAACCAACTTAAGCATCTACAAATAGTTTTATTTAGCTTGCTTTCACAACTCAGAACTGACTTTCATTTATGACTACCGTTTTTATTCAGTTACTTTAACCATCTGGCTCTAACTGAAGTTCAATTAGCAGACTCTGTACAGGAGCTGATTTTCAACCAGTACTCAATGAAAACCGGTACATAAAATTTGCTAGAAATTTACCACTGCTCATGACGAAACTGACTCTCAGCCTTGGCCCAATTAATTAAATAAGCAGTTATTCCATTACTTTAAACGTCACAATTTAGCTAGAGGCCATTAGGTTCACCAACCATACCCTCATGGTCCAGCAATAACATTGAATTTTAGCCTAATTAAATCAGCCATTTACTGACTTTAAACTTTACCAATCGATTTTAATTCCTCATGAGGACATTAACTTTTACACATATATATACACCTTGAAGGTTTATCTTTATCAGATAATCTCAAACTGTTCGTCGCGCCCCCAAGAGGGCTCACGGAATGCTCCAAAAATGATCACGAAAGTGTTCAAAAGATACAACAAATATCTTTAAAGTTTCTTTTCTTTTGTTTTCTTCTTTGTAATATTGGTGTATTCAAAGAGAGTTTCTTCATTTTCTTTATCACTTCATTGGCAGGTTTTGCAACAAGGAAAGCATTTCCTGTTTTTAATGTTTAGTTAATTTCAGATTTTCGCGAATATCTACACAAGTGCTGTATATATATACTAGAGGAAAGGAAACTAGTCAACACCATCTACAGCCAATTCCTGGACTACTCTCACTTGACTGAATAATAAGATTTAACCGTCACTCTTATAACGCACCTACGACTTCAAAGTACAGAGAGTGTTTTTAGCCGCGGCATAACGGCTCATAGAACTGCTCTGAGTTTTTTTCTTTTTTTTCAAGTACAACTTTTAGCTCATAGCTCCGTCATTTCTTAACCAATTTGAGATCTAATTAAAGTTTTCGACTCAGAAGGTCAAACCCTTTAGATTGTTTTATTTGACCTCGCCTCAAGGTCTCATAGATTAATTTACCCTAATCCTGCATAAAAGAATTTCAATTTGAGGGTAGACTGGTAGAGATCCTGATGACTAATAAAATCGAATTGGGTATATGCGTGCCCCACGCTTCGTACTGCTGGCGCACTAAAATATAGCTAGGAAAAAAAAGGTCTCATAAACTAATTTCCTCTAATCCTGCCCTAAAATAATTTCAATTGCCGCGGCTATTGAGGATTCCCTCTTCTTTTTTTTTGTTTGTTTGTTACGCGACACGAACCACATATCCCGCTAACAACTAGGCCACGCCGTCCATTCAATTTAGTATTTTACACGCTTTGGGATTAAAACATTTAACACCTAAACTAACTTAAAAACACTTAAAGTTAGAGTATAACTTAAAAATAAACTGTATATCTAGAACTGTTTATTGTAGTAGCGTTGTGTGTGTGTGTGCGTGTGTTTCGAGTGTTAGATATTATCGGTTGATTTTTAGTTCCATGAGAAATGAGGACATCTTGATTACTCACCCTCACAAAAGGGGGTATCGGACTGAAAACGTTGGAGAACTCATGTAAGTTACTTTCAGTCACCTGATAACATTAAACTTTCACCTTGACATTTTATCCTGAGATCGATAAAGGGTGCTATGATATCTTCATAACATGCAAATGACTTTGAGGCATGACCTTATGACACTAACTATTAATCACTTACTTTCATCCTAAAATATTACCTTTAGGTCATTAAAAATTATTACAATTTCCTCATGAATTTGATAGTTTGTTTGCTTGTTTGTAGTTATGCACAAAGCTACACAATGGGCTATCTGTGCTCTGCCCACCACGGTATCGAAACCCGGTTTCTAGCGTTGTAAGTCCGCCGACATACGCGGGGGGCGACTTGTAATAAACTTTTAGTAATGACCTGGTGACAAAACCTTTACCCAGTTTACTTTCTAATTTTACCAAGCGGTTATTAAATTGTACGTAATGTAAGCTTCCCTCAAAACCTGTATTCACAGATAAACACACAACCGAATCTGAACCTACCCACAATGTTGATGGTCATTGCAACAGCAACAAGAGTAAGGTACAATTACATTTCTGTATTTAAATATGTTACAGAATTAATATTGTAAAATGTAAGTTTCATACAATAAAGAAGAGCATCATGGGCGAGTTTAAAAGTTTTTAACTATATGGTTAAGAGCGCGTGTATAAAATTCGAGAGATCGTAGGACAAACGATTAAGATAAATGATGCCGTCATTTTGCGGGACTGATAAACGAAAGGAAGATCCAATAACCCTTACCATTTCTTTTCCTCCCTTTAACTCCCTCCCCCACCATCGTCTTTTCACGTCCTTACTTCTCACATTTGTTGCAATCGCTACACTACAGGCCGTTGGAAAGCCATGAGGTGTGATCTCCAATTATATCATCACGAGACGTTGTGCACAGGATAATGTGGCTTGTTATAATAACGGACCTAAAAAGGAAGTATTCTTCTATTGAAACAGTTCTTCTCCAGGAAATACCGTACATAGTGTTGCTCTCTATATACTGCTGCAAAGCATCGTTTCTCGACCCTGTAACACAACCACATTGTTAACATGTACCAACGGATGTAATGGTTAAGATATATTTTAAAATTCAAATTCATGTCAGAGCATTATCCACATAGTTGTATATTCCTGCTAAGTTTTATTCACTTTCCTTTCTAAGTAAGTTAAAATAAAGGGTACTTCACAAAATGGTTGTTCTTTTTACGAATAGTTGCTATGCATTGGAGTTATAACTACTGTTAATTTCCTTGTTTTCCATAGTTTTCATCTCTAATAAAATAAACCATACTTCATTGCAATTGCGTAGTAGTTAACGTTAATTAGTGTACCAATGGGTTTTTTTTATCTTTAAGCACAAAAATATACCATGGGCTGTGCCCACCAGGGGTATCGAATTTCGATTATTTACCGTGAGCTAACCGCTGAGCCACCGGAAGTCAAGTAACAATGGAAAGTAGCATTGGTTAAAAAGTATCCCATATCAAATACAACACTGTCACAAAACGAAGCGGAGAAAAAGGATTCTTCTAACAGGTCACGCTAAATTAAAGTATGCGGCATGCAGCAACAGAATATACTTTTCTCCAGCAAATGGTTCAAATATTTTTTCTTTTCTTTTTTTTCAAGTAGGAAAGAAGATAGTGAAATGACTTATACTGATGGTTAATATAGGTCAAATCCTGTGTTTCTCTTAGAATTAATTCAAAATATCTTCGACTATATTTAGTCTAATGCCCATGATTTCGTGCTACTGCCCAACACTGCGATTTCCATTATAAGAAGGTTCTGCGAAAGATGGCGATGTCAGTTACAGGCGAAATATCTTGACAAACTTTCCACAGACCTTTCACTGCACGTGGACATCGGCTTCCAAGGCTACCTTAAACAAACCAAA